CATGTGGGGAGAGGGGGAGGGGAAGAGAAAGGAAAGAGGGGGAGGGGAAGAGAAAGGAGAGAGGGAAAAGAGGTGAAGCAGCCAAGAGGGCAAAGGTACAAAAAGGGACAAGTGACCAAAATGGCCGGATTATATAGGGAGAGCCTCTGGGGCAAAGGCAGCCCAGCTCCTGGGCTGGAGAGTTGGGGTAGAGGGCAGGGTTTGCCAGTCATACCTGTAGCAGGTAGGGACTGAGGGATGCTGGGAGAACCTGGCAGCCAGGTCCGCTTTGATATGTTAAATAGGCACCTCAACTTTTTGTCCCAGGGGTTTGAGACTTAACACACTCAAATAAAACAAAGTAGGAATTTTAAAAATTAAATGGCATAGGTAACCTTGGAATGGCTACACTACTATCAGATAAAATGGACTTCATGATAATCTACATTGCCAAAGACAATTCTATCACAATGGTCAAAGGTCACATTCATCTGTTTGGCAATCACAATCTTATAGTTTTATAGTAACAACGTCTCAAAATGCATAAGGGAAAACAGAAATAAGAAAGAAACATAGCTTCAATCATAGCTGCAGATGTTACAGCCGTCTCCCAGGAACTCACAGAGCCAGACCCCTCCAAACAGTCAATCAGGACAACAAAATTATCAACAGCACTGTGCACCATTCTATAAAGCCCAACAACACCAACAGCTGAATGGGGCCAGTGAGACGGCACAGCAGGTTAAGAGGTTTGCTGTCAAGCCTGGGGACCTGAGTGTGACCCTGGTAGCAGGAGAGAACACACACAAACGCTCCAAATAAAAGTAGACAAAACAGAGAAAGAACAAGCAAGCTGCAGATCCTCTCTCTTTCTGTAACAATTTCTTCCCAAACACTGTCCTCCCAGCAGAACTTTCTGTGCCCTCTATCACAGGAAGATCATAGCCACTCTATGACTAGCGTGGGCTTCCCCAAAACCAAACCACTCCAGTTGCTCCCGACGTCCGTACGCACCTGGATACCATCCTGCCTGCTCCACCATCCAGGGTTCTTTGCCTTGCTCCAGTAGTGAAATTACTGATGGCTTAGAAACGGCGAGTCCTACTCAAAGAAAGAGAATGCTCAAAACAAATACAGAAACAAGCAACGACAGCCAAAAACATGTTAGAAGATTAGTTTAACCTAAAACAACTTTTGGGTCTTTAGGATGACTGTGACTTAAAATAAATAAGTGACTGTTTCGCAAGGCCTTTCCTAAATAATTGTTGCCTGCAGGAGTCACTGATGAAAATTAAAATTAGCAGGGAAGTGTCAGGAGAAAGTCTGTATGCCGTATATCAAAGGGCTTCAAAGGAAGCTATTTACCAGCTGTGAAGTGGTGGCTTTGGGAGGGAGAAGAGGCTCAACAGTCAAGCCCTGCATGTGACAGACTTTACTCTCCCACAGATCTTCATCCCCAACCCTTGGGGAATGCAGGTTCTGAATGAGGAGAAACAGATGGCCTTACCCAGCGACACAAAGTTACTGTAGGTCTCCAACATGACATCTCTGTACAAAGACCTCTGATCAGGGCCCAGGCACTCCCACTCGTCTTTACAGAACTCCACAGCCACGTCCCTGAACACCACCAACTCCTGGAAGGCAAGCACACAGGCGGTAGTGAAGACCATCATGTCAGGCCAATGGTGAGACGCCCTTTCCAAGGCTCCCCAGGGCAAGGCTTGTCCCCTCTCAGCACTGGGAAAACTGAACATTTCAAAGGACCGGCCCTTGGCTCCTAAGAAATCATTTCTGATCCCTTGAAGGTTCTGCCCGATGAGGTGTTTCTTTTCTGTCTGCCTGAGTGGGACCTTGGGCTGTGCCAGCTTGATCTCTAGGAGGCCTGAGAGTCGATAACAAAGATGAATTGTAGCTGAAGGGACCAGCTTCCCTTTTTGCAGCCATAACGGCTGAACATGTGCTTCTATGACCTTGTCCTAGACACTAGAAAGTCAGATGCCTGCCTCGTGACAAGGAACCAATCAGAAGTTAGCTGGTGGCGCTATGCTTTACGACCCTGGGTGTGCTTTACAGACAAGCGCACAGCAATGATGTAGAGAGCATAGCAACCACCCAGGGAGGGCCTATGGGCCATAACAACCAGTTGACCAATCAACACAGGGCAAGCCCTCCAAGCCTGGAGGCGCACCAATCGTGAGCCTGTGCATACTCCTAGACACTCCCCTTACGCTGTCCTATAAGATCTCTCGGGAGGCCCTAGGAGCCGTCTTTTGCTAGGCATCCGCCAAGGCGGGTGGGTGAAAGACCCGAGCTAACGTGGGGTTAGCTCGTTAAAAAACAATAAAGCCTCGTGCAGTTTGCATCAAGCTCTCGAATCCACCTAGTGATTGGGGTGACCTCGAACGTGGCCTGGGACCCCCGGTACTTGAGTTTTCGGGGGTCTAACAGTAGCCATAGCCAGCACTCCCAGGAAAAACCCCGGATGAAAAGGCATTTGCCAAGCGTCACTTGTTGGCCATCTTGCCACATGTCATCTCATGGCAAGGCTGGGAGAATTAAGTGTGTCTCCAGACTTCTACCAGGATGACACAATGCAGAGCCTAGACTTTGCCCCCACCCCCCGCCGGCAAATTTCTTTCCTATTGTGCATTCTTTTGGAGTAAATTCACAATTATGAAGATAACTGCTTCTCTCAGTCCTGCCAATTCAACCCAAGAATCACTCCCATCTACCCAGATGAGCAGCTTACTCCCCTAATCCCAGCTCTAACTGGGAAAGCCAGCCAGACATCCAGGGCTAGCCCAGGGTCTCAGGGTTAATATTGCTGTGATGAAACATGACGACAAAAAGCAACTTGGGGAGGAAAGTGTGTGTTCCCCTTACCAAGCACTGAGGGAGGTCAGGACAGGAACTTAAACAGGATAAGAACCCAGAGGCAGGAGCTGATGCAGAGGCCACTGAGGGGAGCTGCTTACTGGTGGCGTGCTCCACAAGGTTTGCTCAGCCTGCTTTTTTTTTTTTTTTAAATCAAAGTGGTTTTATGTTTTTATTCAAGCTGACACTTGCACATGAACATCAACAAAAACATTTCACCTCATATTTCACACATCCTGCTTTCTTATAGAACCCAGGACAACCAGGCCAGGGATGGCACCACCACAATAGGCTGGGCCTCCCCCATCAATCACTAATTTAAAAAAGGCCCTACAGGCTTGCCTTCAGCCTGATCTCATGGAAGTATTTTCTCAATTGAGGTTCCCTCCACTCAGATGACTCTAGCTTGTGTCAAATTGATATAAACACTAATCAGGACATCTAGGCTACACAAGTTCCAGTCCAGCCTGGGCTACAAATGGGAAAAGAGAACAAGAAACCCAAACCCATAGATGAGGAGTTGCAGTTGAAGTTAAAGAGTATGCATGAGGGAAATCCAGTAGCACACTGGGGCCCGCAGACAGGCTCAGGGCAAGAGACTGTAATTGTTCAGTATAACCAGCTGCTCAGAAGGATAAAGCCATTTGTTGCTGAGGCCACCTGTTTTGGGAACTTGACACACTCAAATGGAAGCCTGAAAACCATTCTGTGGGCGTTTTGGTTCGATTAAAATAGTAATAGGGACACATAAAATAGCAATGGGCATACTCTTGGGGACAAGAGATACAGAAGGCACTTAGAAAATAGAGAGAGAACCGAAAGCAGGATGAACGGCCGATTCCCTTCTCCCTCTTGTGTCTGTCCTCTTGACTTCGGGTCACCAGCAAAGCTCTGTAAGCAGCCATGCTGATCACTCAGGAGGAAACCAGTGATACCTACACTGCCTGTCTCCTTCCTTCCAAAGCTATAGCACACAAGGAGGGTGGCACCCTACTGTCAACTTTTTTGTGTCTCATTCTCCAGAACCCCTACAAGGCACATAAAGGTCTCAGGCCCTGGTCCTAACCCTTCATTCACTGTGGACTTCAGGAATAACAGAGCCTCAAGGGCTGGCCCCTGCCCCCAGATGTAGAAATTGTCCCTAAGGATAGGGCCCAATCAGGAGCGGAAAAAGTAACTAGCTGCTGAGAATAAATCTGTCCCCACCAGCTTGCAGAAACAGAAAAGGACAAGGACGGATTGATTAGACCACACCTTGATCAGGATATTAAAATTATGCAGGCCTCTCCC